TTGGTAAGATTCCATTCTTTGGAAATATCCTCAAAGGCTAAGAAAAAGGTTTATACAAGGGTATTAACTTCTACATATTTCATTGCTGTTTGAATTTTTAATTCTAATTTTCTTAAAATTTAATTTTAAAGTAGAAATTTTAAAAATAAAATTTCTAACCCTGGCTGGTGTGGCTCAGTGGACAGAGTGCCAGACTGTGAACCAAAAGGTTGCTGGTTTGATTCCCAGTCAGGCCATATGCCTGGGTTGCACGGGGGCATGTGAGAGGCAACCAGACGTTGAGGTTTCTCTCCCTCTCTTACTCCCTCCCTTCCCATCTCTCTAGAAATAAATAAATACAACCTTTTAAAAAATATTAAAAAAGAGACATTTCTATTTAATTGCATCCTTGATCTGGCAAATTGAAGGAAGAACAGGGCATCTTGGGATCTAAAAATAAAGGGGAAGCAATGCTATCTCCCCTGAAGCCAAGGCAACATTGGAAGCAGCATCAGCAGTGTGGAGACAGGCCGGTGACGTCCGCTGACAGGACAGTTGGTGGACGTGACCCCTGGACAGAGAGCAATGGGAAGGATGTGAAGTACCTGCAGGACTGCACGAAGTCAGCACTTCCAGTAGATTCAGAAGTTACCCAAGGGCATTAAAGGGAGATTACTTTCCTTATTGGGGACAAGGGCGTTTGAAGTCTTTAAATTTTTTTTAATATTTATTTTTAGGGAGTGAGGAAGAGAGGAAGAAACAGATGGAGAGAAACCTCCATCGGTTGCCTCTCGCATGTCCCTGACCTAGTCCCCAACCCAGGCATGTGCCCTGAACAAGAATCAAACTGGTGACCTTTGGGTTTGCAGGACGATGCTCAGCCCACTTGGCCACACCAGTCTTGGTTAAAATTTGTTTTTTAATGGAAGTGTAACCTTATTTTATAGGCCTGGACACGTAACTTTCATGGTTTTTATCATCACTGTTTGAAATAAGAAGGAAATCTGTCCCAATTCAGGGAACACAGTTGACCTTTAATATATCTTGAATAATGAGGTCAATGTGTGCATATACCACTCATATCAGAATGTTCCTTTTTGCCTACATTATTTTTTTTAACCTGTCAACTGTCTTTTTTTTTAAATTTAATTTATTTATTTTTAGAGAAGGGAAGGGAGACAGAGAGGGAGAGAAACATCAATGTGTGGTTGCCTCTCACGTGCCCCGCTAATGGCGACCTGGCCAGCAACCCAGGTATGTGCCTTGGACTGGGGAAAAAAATGGTGACCCTTTGGTTTGTAGGCCTGAGATCAATCCACTGAGCCACACCAGCCAGGGGTCAACTCTGCCTTTTGATCATGCCCAAGCATCATCATGCCCTGAGGGTCTAGCAGTAAGGTTATCATTCCACTTGTCTTAGCTCTCAGCCAGAAACAGAAGGCCCAGGGCAAGCTGCAGGACATACACCATCAGGATTTTTCTGTACACTAAGCACAGAGCAGCAAGAAAGGGCATGCCAATATATCAGGCTATTGAGGACTAAAAGGTACGAGTGTTGATTCAAGTTTTTTGGTGCGCTCAAGAGTTTTTCCAGAATACCTATTGAGTTTATTTTGGTTTTAACAATGGGAATTATTTTGGTTCAAATAAAACAAACAAACAAACTAATAACTAAAGCCCATAGTTCTTCGTTTGGTTTTTAGATTTAACTTGCAAATTTTATTATTAAATTCACTAATTCAGTAGATACCTGGCTGCACTTTGGGTATCTCACAAAGCTGTTTTGTGACCCGTGGTAGTAAATCGTGAGATGGATAGAAGGATGCAGAGCACTGGGAGTCTCAGTTTGGGTCTTGGCTTGGGGCTTAGAAAGCCAAAAGATTGACCAAACAGGCTCACCTCTGCCTGTCATAGTCTCAAGATTAAGAAGAATCATCTAAGGTTAGCAAAGCACAAATTTTTATGTGGCCCTCCAGGCTCATAAATAGGTCAGTGATGCATTCCAACTTGTAATTCCCAACTAAAAGTTCTTTCTACTAATCCTGATATTTGAATTTTCTTTTGTTGTTCTCCTTTGCTGAAATATTTGAGGTAAAAAGTGGGGATAGGACAGTAGTTAGAAGAAGAGGTTGGCCACTGGTCTGATACTGTCAGCTGTTGTGCTTCTGTTTTTATAATTATATCATAACACGTAATTCTTAAAATTGACATCAGGCCTATGCTTGGGCAACCTAAACCTCCTCAGGGGTTATCGATGAGCTTGTTTTCATTGTAACAACCTACACCTCACATGAGTTTGTTCCCTTTTCCCAATTCCTGTATACATTAATTAGAATTGGTTTGACAGTGGCAGAAATGTCAAATAGTAGTGGCTGAAACAAGATAGGTACCTGTTTCTCTCTCACATTTCTTTTTATAAAGTCCAAGGATAGTGAGTTCAGGCCTGGTATGATGCTCACGGGGTTACATACACAGGCTTTTTGTATTTTGTTGCTCTGCCAAATTTAGCACATGGCTTTCACATCAGGATCCAAGATAGATGCTCATTTCACTTATTTTCTATAGATGTCCCATTGTCTAGAAATTAGTCACATGGCCAATTTTAATTGAAACAAACAAACAAACAAATCCCGAAACCCTGGGAAATATCTCTTTTATTTTAGGTGTCTATGTGCTCAGATAAAATTTCAGGTTCCTATTACAACCCCCAGATAAAGAAAGGAATTAGCAAACTGAGGGAAAATGGGTTGTGTCTGCATTTACAATCTCCCATGCTTTAAAGTCTCACCCATGTCTCTCTAGCTGGTGTGGCTCAGTTGGTTGAAGCATCATCCCAGGGTTGCCGGTAGATTTCCAGTCAGGGCGCGTACCTAGGTGCAGGTCCTAGGTGCAGGTCTCCCTTCCCAGCACATTCCTTCCCCCACCCCCACCTCATCCCCACACCCCCCAAGCCCCGTCTAGCTCCCAGTGCCTATGATCCCCACACGGGGCAGTGCGATCCCAGGTCCAGGTGCCTACAATCTACAATCTGCAATCAATAATCTACAGTCTACAGTAGGGGCCCCTACGGGAAGCATCCAGTTGGTGCTTCTCTCTTACATCGCTGTTTCTCTCTCTCCCTTCCTCTCTTCCTAAAAAGCAGCAAAAAATATGTCCTTGTGTGAGAATTAATAAAAAACAAACACCTCACCCATGTCATATCTGTCATATCTAGGATTCTCCAGGGTAGGCTCTCAGGTAGTGTCTTTTTTTTCTTATACTCCACTCCTTCTTGATGGTGTCCTATACCCTGGAGACACTTGTGGGGCCTTGCTCGATGTCATTGCTGTCAGTGCCTCCACAACGCTTGGCCTCTATACCAAGGTGGTCTTCCTTCCAACAGCATCAAAACCATGTCGTTGGAGGATTTAGAAGTGTGTGGTTTTCTATTGGAATAAGGAGAGCTTACACCCTTAGTACTCTGTGCTACTCTTCATCCCCTGAGCACCGGGACGGTATTGTTTGTTCCTCAGTCTTTCATCAAAATAGCTCTAACATATTCCACTTAAAGTTTTTCTCTCCATCGTGTTCAAACACTGGTCAAAAAGGCCAGGTTTGTGTCATCTGTATGTGGAGTATGGGACAAGGACGTAGATGGACGTGAGATACCATTCTTGCTTCTCTGCCCCAGTTTTCATTTTTCTTTTTATGATGCAGAACCTTTCTTCTTCAGCAATCCTCATGTAACTAGAATCCTTTCAAACATAGCCTTGCCAGTTAACCATGTATGCCTGAATCTGAATTCGAGTTTTAGGAACAACTTAACCTATAACCAGATACCCGCATTTCACTTTGTGGGCCCAATAGCTGGCAAAGTGACTGTCATGCGCAGACATTCGATACTTACTGAATAAACGAATGAACCGTAGGCCCCTATTTACATCCATTGATTTATGAGTTAGGACCCTAGCCCTGAGTCTGAAGGTAAGGATAGGGAATGGTAAAAAGACGAGCAGATTGGACTGCAGAGAAGTGTGCAGGAGAAATAGACATTCTCCCCACCGTTCCCTATCACTACCCCTTATCCAATTTCCCATATGTTAGTTATAGAGAATAATTATTTAAAAATATTAAGAAGTTTCACAGACAAAAGGAGAGAAATTATTACCTAAACTGGATAGAGAGATTTCTTTTATCATATGATTCTTCAAAGTTTTTTGGAAGTGGAATGTTCTTAGGTAAAGCCTCACCTATGGAAAGTGAGGAAAGGAATTGTGAATAAATGTGACTGCCAGTGAGTGATGAGTTGTTTGTAGTTTTGTGACTCATCTAAGCTAAAGGTATGGGAATCCATAAAAGAAGCACTAAATAATTGAAAAATACCTTGGAAAGTTTGCTATCCTGAATATTTAGATCTTTATCCTGAGATATCTCCTATGAGAACCTACACTTTCATTTTTCCATGAATATTGTGTTGTATGGCAAGAACAGAACAAGCAAAACATCTACAAATACAGCACCAGATAGATGAAGTATAATATACAATTTCTCAAGAGGCTTTAAGATCTTTTTGTTACAAATTGTGTCACAGAGAAAGATAATTCCAAACTCAAAAACCTCATGGGACCATACCAGAGACATTTCACTAGGTCAATGCACTTTATTATTTTTACTGAACTAGAGATTTACATGAATACAACTTAGAGGCACACTTCAGGCCACCATTTTTTGTTCCTCTTGGTGGTGGTCATCCTTTCATTACGGGCATTCATCCTCATAATACATTTACAATGTGTTCAATTACATGACCTGTTTGAAATCATATCTCAGAGCACTGTCTTTGAACCTAAGCCCACGTTGCCTGTACATGGTGTTAAGAGAAAAAGGGAGGTGGATGATTACAATGGATGGATCAAAATTACCATTCTCAATTTTGACCTGTCAGAATCAGCATGGAGAGGGGTATATCCTCCCACTCTAACCTCTTAAAGAATACTCTTCTAAAATGGTGGGAGGAAGATGTCTTCCTAGTGGCTGACATTTTACTGATTATTGGGTAGTTCCAAAATACCATTTACATGCTCAGGAATAATCTCTCCAATATCATCTTGCCATCGACAAGTGATAAGGGCATAACCCTCCTTGTAAAAAGATTGGTATTCACAGTCTGACATCTTAGTTCCATGTGTTAACTTACAGTGCAGTACTTTTATCAGTTTCTTGGTCTTGTGACATCTCCTAAGTCCATTCTTACATGCCACATACTTGCTGTTACAGGTCTTTTGCAACTCCTCATACGCTACTGGGAGGAAGAAATGTTCTTTCCTACAGAAAAACCTGTCATGAACATTTCTTTCCTTCATTTCAAAAGTACAGTCATAGTGATGATAAAATGGAAATAAAGGAGGAATTATGACATGCCGTTGGAAACTTTTTTTGGTAGGTGGTTTGGTAGGCCCTGTGCTATATAATTCATCCGAATAATCTTCAAGTTCTTCTGCCACATGATCTGGTAAATCTAAATATCTACGTTGCATTAGAACCTGCAATGGAAGTGGCTGCAGCAGCACGAGGAACAGAGGCAGGGACTGAGTGGTGAGCAGAATTTTCATATTTTCCTGTGGGGAATATAAGAGATAGGGAGATGTGTTCTGCTGCGATATGGTGCTCCTTCTATTCCTGTGCAGGCTCCATTTCTGCCACCTATAGCTTTTGTGAGCTCTAAGACTTTGGACCATTTTAAAATTGACAACTCAGAATCTAAGTACGTTGGAAATATTGACTAAAAACTGACTTTACTAGACCTATGTTCAGTCTAGAAGACTGTGGATAAGAGAGGGAAAGGTGAAGGAAGGAAGGAAGGAGAGAAATGAAAGCAAGAAGGGAAAGAAGAAAACAAGAAAGGAATGAGGGAGAGAGCAAGGGAGAGGCATACAGTAGAGAAAGGAGAGACCTAGGAAGGAGAAAGAAGATCCAGACAGCAGTGGGGAGGAGGGAGAGAAGCCCAAAGAAGGCTCAGGGCTTCCCTCCCGCTGGAACAAATACATCAGTTCCCTTTTTTGGAGTTAAGAACTTGCACTGAAAAGAGCCAGAAGGGATTCACCCTCCCCTCATTACCATTCTACTGGTCTGAGAAAAATTCTTCATTGGGACTTCCACCTCTTGCTTACCTCTGACCAGAGATGCCCTTGGAGAAGATCAAGCAGGGACCATAGGGTCAAGTGAACACCACATGCGGAGCTTCTTTCTGTGTCCGTTTTTCCCACTACCTCATTGCCTGGAATGGCTCAGTGCATTTTGTAGCCTCCTCTGCCTCCTCTTAGCACTCAGAATTACTTTTTCACTAGGGTGCATCACTTACCTTATGTTTTTTTATTCCTTTTTTTGGTCTCCTAAGTAGACTACATGGTTTTTGCTATGATCAGGTTTTTACATATCAATACCTTCTCCGTTCTTGTGTACTTCTTTGCAATTATGGTAACTTCATCATCAGAGATTTCAGTCACTGCATTACTTCCCTGTCTGTGTGTTTCCATGTCTATTCACCCCACAGTAGGCTGCACTAATATTTCCCCCATACTTTAAATACGTATGAGCAAGTGTCTTTGCTACACAAATGTGTACAACAGGGTAGATGGCTTACGTGTCCTAGGATAAGTTATATTACTTTAAAAAGAAATAAAAATATTTAATTCAGGATACATCGATGAAGCACATTATCATTGTGCTTCCTGGTAATTATGATAAGTGTTAAACATATTTTTAAAAACAAAAACAAAAACAACTTTCCTTAAAGGAGCCTGGACAGAAATAACATAGTTCCCAGGTATTGTGTCCAATTGCTAGACATCAGGACACAGTTTACTTTTTGCTGGAAAGTGTCCTCTTTCACGGAGGACTCCTGGGCCTGATAATAATTTTCCATTCCTATTCCAAATCTGACTGTTAATCATTAATTCTCCAAGGAAGCTTTCTTCCCAGAGGAAGGCAAGTACCTCTGGCCTTCCAGGCCTCTCTTTGCCCGTGGCCTCCTTACCTCTTTCAGTCCTTGTGTTGCCTATGCTTCAGAGAATAGATGTTCCAAGAGCTGGGCTGGGCTGGGGCGAGCCTGACACGGGAGACACGGACCTTTCCTAAGAGTTCAGGAGCTTGAAGTAGGAAGACAGAAGAACAAGGTTGAACAGCTGAGATAAATGCATTCTTGGGGTCACTCTAAAGTAAAAATAATAAACAATAATGGCGAGCATAATGAGCTATCATCATCATCCAAACAACCTCATGATAAAGATACTACTTTTAGTAATGTTTTATTTTATATAATTATCATCTCTTTGTGAAGGGAGGTTGCCTAAATGTCTTATGTTAGGTCTGGCAGAATCCTGGTTCAAGCTCAGGTTGCAAGTCTGTTTGATTTCCACATTCTGTTTTTAATTGCTATTCTCCATCAGTCTAGTTTCCTTTCCTGAGCTAGACTGTACATCCTTTTCTAGTGTGTCTTTGTAACTCTATGTGAAGGGGCTAACAGAAGCAGAGAGACCACCAAAGTAACCAGTGCTAGAATTGTCTCTGAGCCACTAGAGTGCTGTGATAAACTGGCCCACATTCCATAAAGCAGAGTTGTGCTGTTGGCAGAAAGAGTTTCCTGGGTTTTCTTCTTCCACTGTGCACTTGGTATAAGAGAAGTCTTCCCTTAAGACAATCTGAGTGATTCTCGAGTACCGGTAACCCAGAGACCCCGACCTGCATGTGGATGGAGAGGGAGATGGAGGGCCTCTGATCCCAGGTTAGACCCAAGTCTGTATATAAGTGAGTAGAAAAGGTCAGAGAGTGGTGAAGTTAAAGAGAGGTAGGTGTTGGGAGCACACATCAGGAAGTGGAAGGAATAGGAAAATTGAAGTTTGGAGATCTGAAACCTGAGGATGGGACAGGAAAGAAAAAAAAGATAAAAAAAAATGGTGATGTGAGAGTGGGCCTTCTTGGTGTCACCATGTTCCTCCCATTCCTGTCCTCACTCTCTCATTAGTCCCCTCCAGGAGATCTCGTCAGAAGAGAGATCCCATTATGATAGTCCAGGGAGCTCAGTACGCATTTCCATTAACAGGAACCTGGAGGCTCTGTGACATCTTGGGTTGGAGAGAACACAACAGCAGACTCAGGCTCCTGTGGCCCTTGCAACCCACTGGGACATACATCAGGGCTGGCCAGGACACCTGTTCATTTTGTACATCCTCAAACTTCTTAATCCTTTGTGAAATCAACTTGTGGTTTCATGCTTCTTAAAATCATTTTTTACCCAGACTAGCATGGTTCAGTAGATTGAGGGCTGGGCTGCAAACCAAAGTGTCGCCAGTTTGATTCCCAGTCAGGACACATGCCTGGGTTGTGGGCCAAGTCCCCGGTTGCGGGTGTGCAACTGGCAACCAGGCATCAATATTTCCCTCTCTTTCTTCCTCCCTTCCCCTCCTTCTAAAAATAACTAAATAAAATCTTTTTAAAAAAGTTTAGCTGAGACAGAGCACAGAGGCAGAGTGTGGGAATGGGGATTAATTAAACAGATGAGAAAGAGAGAGAACACAGAACAGATAGTGTTCAAACATGTTCATCCCATGTTTCTTAAGTTTTTGCTTGATAATCTCAGACTGCAGAATCACCCACCCTCCTTGGTTTTCCCTAAGACCTAATTAATCAAAGTCTCTTTGAATGGGCCCAGGAACTTGCACTTTAAACAAATTCACAGGGTGATTCTTAGCCTTGAGAAGCTTGAGAAACCCTTTCTTAGTATGCCAGGGTATGGCAAAAGTAAGTTTACATTTGTCCGTATGGAAAATAATACAATAATTAATAAATAATACAAGAATAAACTCTTTCACAGACTCACAACTGTAAACCTACTTTTGCCCCACCCTGTACATAAAAAAATGCACTCTATAATAAAGAAAACACCCTAAAACAGTGTGGGGGGGAGCTTTTTTCAGTAAATTATTTTGGAAAAAGATTGAGATGAATTGCTTTCACTTTTCGGCTTTTGTGAATAATGCTGCTTTGTATATGAGTGCACAAATATCTGTTCAAGTTCTTGTTTTTCTCTCTGCTTTTAAACTCGATTGGAAAGGTTAGAGCAGCTTAGATTTCACATGGCTGGAAGGGCCTGAAGAAGGTGGTCTGCCCAAGGCCTTGCCTTCTAAGATGCAGGTCCTGAGTTCCCAGTTGGTGCGCTGTATTTAGCTGCAATTAAAAAAAAAAAGAGATTGAGATGAGTCATAGGCCCCTTAGGTAGATGAATATATACGTATTTCTTAGGGATTATTAAGTGATATTTTAAAAGTAAATCACTTTTTAAAAAGAAAAAGCAGGATTTTTAACAGATCTTAAAATGAAGCATCAATGGGCAATGATCATGCAATTACATAGCCTCAATCACAAAAGGAAAAAACTAAAATTGTGTCTTTCAAATTGGCAATAATTAGAATCCCTTACAAACCCAGTGCTGGTAAGAGTGTGATGAGGTGGGTGTTCATGCATTTCTGATTAGAATAAAAGATTTGGCAAAAATAATAAAGAGCTTTTAAGGTCTGAAACTGTCATCTCCAGTTTTTAATTGTTAGAATTCTAAGCATGCAAATATGGATAGCAAGTTTTAGTTAATAGAGACAAAAATTTGGAATTAGAAAATATAAATATCTGAAAATGATGGGAGAGTTTAAATTAAACCTGATATGTTTATAGAAATGACAAAAACACTACAACAATAATAACCATTGCAACAAGAACTAATATTTGAGATTGTATTTTATATTTCTAGAATTATATATTCTTAAAATAGATTATTTTCCAGAACTTACAAATATATTAATTAATTAAATTTTTGAGATATGAAATAATTTAGTAATAGGACTGTCTCTTTACAAGGGACAGAAGTACCAAACAAATTCACTTAAACACAGGAAGAACTATTTGACTCACAGAAAACAGAAGTCCAGGAGGCACAGCAAGATGAAGACATTAAATCCTTCACTAGACTCCTGGGTTTTTTCTCTTATTCTACTCTGCTTTCTATACTAACTCATTCTCATGCAGCGGCTCTCCATGCAAAGGCAGAGAAAATCACTGTTACTCTTAGAGCTTATATTTAGGGTCACAGTAGGAAGTGCCATTCTCTCTTACTTTAGTCAAGGAAAATCACTCTTCTGATTGGCGTTTTTTTCTACCACATGGATAAATCTAGCCATGTGGGATCCTCTGATTGGCTGACCTGATGCTCACGTCTTTCTTTGAGAAGTAAAGGCAAAACCAAACAATTAAAACCTCAGCAGAATTCCAGCTGCTGACAGAAGGGCTGTTCTCTACAACCCGAAAAGGGAATGGAGATCAAGGACAAAAGTAACAAACGTCCATTACTGATGGCTATTGAAAAATCAAAACACTGAACTATATCTACCATATGATCCCAATTAATGGAAGTACAGAGAACATGGTGGGGGAGGAGGGACCGAAACAAAGCCTTAATAAACTGTTACTTCTGAACAGTTAATTTTTTATTGTTATCTTTAAAGGTGCCTATTTTTCAAATTTAAAATAAGTAACTCTAATGAAGTAACACTTAAAATGGATT